CGGCGTCGTCGTCGGCGTCGGCGTCGGCGTCGTTTGCGTCGTCGTCGTCGGCGTCGGCGTCGTCGTCGGCGTCGTCGTCGTCAGCGTCGTCGTCGGCGTCGTCGGTGTCGTCCGCGGCGGCGGCGTCGGCGTCGGCGGCCTCGGCGTCGTCGGCGTCGGTGTCGTCGGCGGCGTCGTCGTCGTCGTCGACCGCGTCGTCGTCGTCGGCGTCGTCGTCGTCGGCGTCGGCGGCGTCGGTGACGTCGGCGTCGTCGCGGCGTCGGCGTCGTCGGCGTCGGCGGCGTCGGTGTCGGTGGTGGCGTCGGCGTCGGCGTCGGCGTCGTCGTCGTTGTCGTCGGCGGCGGCGTCGTCGGCGGCGGCGTCGTCGTCGTCGTCGGCGTCGTCGTTGTTGTCGGCGGCGTCGTCGTCGGCGGCGTCGTCGTCGGCGTCGTCGTCGTCTTCGGCGTCGTCGTCGTCGTCGTCGGCGTCGGCGTCATCGTCGTCGTCGTCGTCGTCGGCGTCGTCGTCGGCGTCGGCATCTTCGTCGGCGGCGTCGTCGTCGTCGCCATCGACGTCGTCGTCGTCGTCGTCGGCGGCGCCTTGGGCCTCGGCCACTTCTGCGGCCAGGTACTTCTGGATGGCGTGCCGCTCCGCCCGTTCTGGCCCACCAAGCTTTGGCGCGACACGCCTTCACTTCCCGATCCCCAGGCTTCGACGCCAAGAGCCTTTCCAAGCCTCCCGCCCCGCGGAGCGGAGCCACACGCTGGCATCGCCTCCTCGAGCGCGGGCAGCGCGGTGTTGAGCTCGCGAGCCCCCTCGCTGCGGATCTTTTGGCGTAGCTACATCATCGGGGCGGCGGCGGCGGTCGCGAAGTCTGGAGGCACTGTGAGAATCTGCACGTCTGAACGTCTAGAGGCACTGTGAGAATCTGCACTGTGAGCTCGCAGGGCACAGCGTGTCGCTGAGGCCGCCGTGGCGGCGCGCCGTCCGAGGAGTGCCCGGCCGCAGCAGCACCCGCAGGAAGTCGGCGGACCCCTCCCTGCTCGCCGCCGCCGAGGCGCAGGCGGCGGTCGGCGGGCATCCCCAGAGGGCCCTCGGGGGAGGAGCGGCAGCTCCTCCTCCCCCCTCCTCCTCCTCCTCCTCCTCCTCCTCCTCCTCCTCCTCCTCCTCCTCCTCCCTCCTCCTCCTCCTCCTCCTCCTCCTCCTCCTCCTCCTCCTCCTCCTCCTCCTCCTCCTCCTCCTCCTTCTCCTCCTCCTCCTCCTCCTCCTCCTCCCCGTAGCATTGTGGCTCAAGTCTCCACGGCCCTCACCGCGGGGTCTCGACTCCAGAGGCTCGAGGCCGAGACGGAGGGGCAGCCCCTTTCCTTCAGGCCTCTCCCCTCGACCAGCTTTCAGCGATGCGTTGGCGTGACCACCTACCTATCTACATCATCCCTCCAGTCACGATGGGGCCCGCCATAGTTCTCCTTGCATTTGTGTGGTGCTGGGCGCCTTCAGGGCTCGGCGCCGCGGCGGCAGCATGGGGAAGGCAAGGACCTACACGGTGTGCCCAAATCACACATGTTCTGGGTGGGCCTGGGATGACAAGAAAACATTCCCATTGTTGCAAGTGCAGTGCAGCCATCGTATCGCAGCAGCCCCCTCGCGGCCAGGCCCAGGAGTCAGGCCCTTCAGACGGTCAGGACCCCAAAGGCCGCTGGCTTGGCGCACGGCCTCCAGGAAGCGCCGCTTCCAGAACTTCCAGCCACAGCAACAGGACAAGCCGCCCAGGGTTCAGCCCGACACAGCAGACCCCCCAAACCAACCCTCCCCCTCGGAAGAAGTCGGCAAGTGGCAGCGGGCAACCCAGTTTGGGAAGAAGGAGGAGGGGGTGGAGGGACCCCAGTACCTGGAGGCGCTGGAGAAGCTCAAGGCTGCCAAAGCAGCCATGCTACGTGGTAGGCCCTTGGGCCAGCAAGCCCAAAGCCTTGCGGACCAGCTGGCAACCCAGAATCGCAAGTACCAATGCAGCAATCAGTCTTTGGTTGAATTGCAGGCGCAGATTGTTGACCTCCAGGAACAAACGGCGACACTGCTTCGTGAGCTGAAGGAGATCGTCCTGCTCGAAGGTCAGCAAGCAGCAGCAGGCGCAGCAGCAGCCCAGGAATCGCAGTCAGGAGCAGAAGGCATCGTGGCATCGGTCAGCCAGCTGGCTCAGAAGGAGGGGTCCTTCGGCACGGACAACCTGTCCCCAGCCCAAGCAGCAGCCCAAACCCAGCTCGCAAACCTCCTTCAGCAAGCCCTGATCCAGGTCAGCACCCTGGCAGTGTCAGCAGCAGTTCAGGCTCCCCCAGCCTCAGAAGCCCCAACATCACAGCAGCGCAGGCCCCCCCAGCCTCAGCAGCAGTGCGGGTTCCCCAACCTCAGCAGCCCCCCCAGCCTCAGCAGCAGCGTTCCCAGCCTCAGACAGGCTTCGTCGTGAACGGGGGGGATACCTCAAGGGATACTGACATGGACGGAAGACTACCCGGCACCAAGCGCACTCAGGAGACATTGGTGGAGGACATCCGGGAGCTACATCGATTCGCCCGCAAGGAAGCCAAGGGGGAGGGAGGAGGAGCAGCAGCCTCAGTAGCACCGGCACCCCACCCAGCAGCGGCGGCAGCGGCTGCGCGTGCAGCGGCGGCGGCAGCGGCCGTGCCTCCGCCCACCAACGTACCTCCGCCCGGCAGCGCGGCAGAGGGAGCGAGGGCAGCCGGGCGCGCCAGCGGGAGGAAGGGCAGCAGGCGGCAGAGGAGCAGACAGAGCAGCGGAAACCCCGGTCCCCGCAGATGGGGCAGGGTTTGGCGGGGAACAGGGGTTGCGCCTTCCCCAGCGTAAGTACCTGTACAAGTACCAATGGCAAGACCAGCCTGGGGCTTCGTACACTCAACTGCACGGCTTAGTCTACGGCCAAAAAGTTCGCGACCAGCGAGGAGTGTGCAACGGTCAATCTCATTGCGTTCAGGAGCACAAGCTCGTCAGTCCCCAGGATATAGAAGAATCCATTTCCTGGTGTCAGGCACGGGGCTGGAACGCCACCTTCAGCCCAGCAGCTGAGTCGGACAAAGGATTTCCGACTCAAGGAGTAGCAGTCTTGGTCAGGGCAAGGCTGGACATCGGGTCGGCAGGGATATGCCCTGAGATGCAGCATTCTCGACTATGCGCCGTCCGGGTGGAGATTAAGGGAGTCTTCATTTTTGTCTTCGTCAGCATGTATTTCCATGTTTCCCAGGGCCTCAGCCAGGCCAACATGGGGCTCCTGGCACAAATTGCCCAGATTCAGGAGCGATCTAGACTTCCAGTGATTGTCGGCGCTGACTTCAACATGGGTCCGTCGACCACCCGGGAGACGGATTTCCTTCCTCGAGCGGGCACGTTGCAAGCCTATCCCAGCCATGGCACTTCGACTCGATCGGGCCACCAATGACCTCGGCCTCTATCACGGGCGATGTTGGCGTAATCGGCGTCAATGTGCCCTCTTTGGGAATACCCTCCTCCTGAGATCCGAAGGCCGGCATGAGCGATCTGGGCTGCAGCGGGGACATGGGCGTCGATGCCGTCGACGGCGCTGCTCCTGACATCGGCGCCGCTCCCGTCGGAGGCGCTGCCGTAGGCGTAGTAGTGGTGAAGGATGGCGATGCTGCCACTCCTTCCGTGGGCGTCGCCGGCCCTGGCGGTTGGCCAGGGGGTTGGTGTGGGGTAAACCCCACCGCCATCGACAGGCACTGGTTGATCCTCGCAGTGTTGACCTCCATCGCCGCCATCATATTGTCGAACTGCATCTTCTGCGCTGGGCTGAGGCCGCCGAAGGTGTGAACTGGCGTCGGGGCTGGTGCCGGCGGTGGCGGTGCCAACCCCTTTTCCAACCCCTTTGGCCGCCATGGCGTGCTGGTACGCTGCGACCCCCAGCACCACAGGCTGGCGTAGGTGCGGCGGGATGATGGGCTGGGCCTGATGGGCTGGCGCCGCTGGCTGCTGGGGCTGACGCTGCCAGGGCGGCGCGGGCGCAGCACCACCAGCACCATGCTGCATGCCACCAGTATCTCCAATGTCCATGGCGTCGTACACCTGGGCGTCCTCGATGTCCTCCTGGATCTTGGCGATCTGGGACGTCGTGTCGGTGATCTCCCGCTGCACTGCCGCCTCTTCCTCGTCGAGCTTGCTCCGATCGATTCTTATCTTCCTCAACCTCTCGTTGTGTCGATTTAGCCGGTTCTGCTGGTCTATCAACTGCTGGGTGAGAGGCTTGAGCGACACCAGGGCTGCTTTCCACACGGCGATCTCGGTCCTGGCCTCGCTGTCGTTCGTTCCCGCTGCGATCGATGCGAGCACTGAGTCGGCCAGTACATCTATCTTCTTCTTCTTCACTATGTTTCTGTACTGGGCATGCTCGCTGTCGTCTGGCGGATCCTCCCACTTTGGATGCTGCTGAGCCTCCAGGTACCCCATGGGACGAATGGGCTGAACAATCTTGTTGATGGCCGCCTTCGAGGGAGCCTGTGCCGTAGCCGTCTGCCCGCCTTGTCCCTTGGGGCCCCTGCTCGGAGGCCTCCTGTACCATGTGACCATGTGATGCCGAGCCTCTGGCTGAAGTGTGTGCCATTCTTCCAGTTCCACTTGCTCAGCGGTACCTTTGATCCACACAGGCATTTCCATGATGATGTCTGGCCTGTGTGTGCAACTGCCGTTGTCGCCATACTTCGTCGTTGTGGCTGCTGTGCGCTATGATGCGCACTCAACACCTCCTGCGCCCTCGCTAGGCGGAGAAGAACCAGACACCAAGAGCGGCGCGCTCTGCTGCGCCTGTGCCACCCTGGCTCTCGTGAGCGATTGCGAAGAATGTCGGGAAAGTCGCGGCCAGGGCGCTGAGAGTCCCTGACACGCAAAGGGTAAGGCCGGTCCACTTGTCCCCTGTGGGCAAAACAGGAAAGTGCTTCGGCCAAACGCCTCTCGTCTTCCTCCTCCTCCTCCTCCTCCTCCTCCTCCTCCTCCTCCTCCTCCTCCTCCTCCTCCTCCTCCTCCTCCTCCTCCCCCTCCTCTTCCCGGGCTTGGGCTTCGGGCTCGAGCGCCGGGAGTGGAAGCGAGGTGTCGACGTGTTTCGCTACGGTGGGGACGTTGGTTCAGGAATTCGAAGAGCAACAACATCGGCATGCACACATGCTATCTGCGCTCCGAAATGTTGTGTTTGTATGCCGTTATTTGCTCTTCTATGGCAGCGAGGCGCCGACGTTGTTTCACTACGGTGGGGGCGTTGGTGAAGGAATGTTCCCAGGAGTCTTCAGACCCTGGAGGATTCCTTATCTGAGCGGGGCGGCGGTGATGTCCATGGCCGATCCACGAGTGGAGTGCCACCCGTTTCCAGACCCTGGATTCCTTCACCAATGGTTCCTCGTCCACTGCCCCCACCGTTCCCACCAAACCACCCCAACCCAGCCCGAAGGCCCCAAGTTGTTCTCCAGTCCCAGCGGAGGGGCACCCCGGAACATTCGGAGGCCGATAGACCTCCTACCCTGACACGTCGATTAGCGAATTGGTCGTTTTCGGTTCGCGAGAGGGCGTCGTGGCCGTCATTTTTGCGGGTCCAGGTATCTGGTTTCGGTCCTAGGCCGTTTTCGCTAAAGGGTGGTTTACTGAAGGGAGGTTTGTCCACCGCCGAAGCATTGAAAAAACACGGATGGAACTCGTGCGCCCCCCAACCCGAGGTTTTAGATTTCGGGTTGACTTGGGGTGGCCTGGTAGGCCGTCAGTTTTTGAGTCCAGGGCTTCTGGAGCCGGCCAGCACTTCTGGCCTCTGGCCCGGCTGGGAGGAGGAGGAGGAGGAGGAGGAGGAGGAGGAGGAGGAGGAGGAGGAGGGGGAGGAGGAGGAGGAGGAGGAGAAAGACGACGAGGAGGAGGAGGAGGAAGAGGAGGAGGAGGAGGAGGAGGAGGAGGAGGAGCCCGCGCTGACCCAGGAAGCTTTGAGATCCTTCTTCGCGAAAAAGATGCAACATAGTTCGAAAGCACGGACCAGAACCCCAAGAGGGCTCCAACGATGCTCCGACGCCGCCATGACGGCCGCAGAGGCCTTTGGAGCGTCCCAAGACGACCCCCGAGAGCCCCAGGAGGCCTCGCGGTGGCCGAGGATGCTCTGAGGCGGTTGCCAATCCTGAGATCCGCCGTCGACGGAGCGGCAACGCCGTGGCAGATCACGACCGGAGCCCTGGACCCCATCTGGCGGCAGTTCTCGAGCCGGATCGGTGCGCGAGGGCCCCGTGGCCCGAGAGAGGGCGAGTGCGCTCGGTTCGGGAGCGGCTCAGAGGGGGGTGATGACGACCAGGTGGGGTGGATCTCATTGCGTCGGCCATGATATTTTCCCAGATTTCACGGCGCCTCTTATTTCAATGCGTCCCCAGCCCCCCCCTTGGGCCGCGCACCTGCCGCCGGCCATAATTTGCACCCCCCCTCTCGGACGCCCCCCTCTCGGACGCCCCCCTCGGCGCATCTTTTTCACGAAGAAGGATCTCAAAGCTTCCCGGGTCAGCGCGGGCTCCTCCTCCTCCTCCTTCTCCTCCTCCTCCTCCTCCTCCTCCTCCTCCTGCTCCTCCTCCTCTTCCCTCTTCTCCCCTCTCCCTCCTCCCCTCCTCTCCTCCCTCCTCCCCTCCTCCTCCTCCTCTCCTCCTCCTCCTCCTCCTCCTCCTCCTCTCCTCCTCCTCCTCCTCCCCCTCCTCCCCCGCTCTCCTCCCCTCCTCCTCCTCCTCCTCCTCCTCCTCCCCCTCCCCCCCCCTCCTCCCTCCTCTCCTCCTCCTCCTCCTCCTCCTCCTCCTCCTCCTCCCTCCTCCTCCTCCTCCTCCTCCTCCCCCGTCCCGGCCCGTCCCCCCCCCCCCCCCCCTCTTCCTCATCCACCCCCTCCTCCTCCACCTCCTCCTCCTCCTCCTCCTCCTCCTCCACCTCCTCTCCTCCTCCTCCTCCTCCTCCTCCTCCTCCATTATGTTGCCCCCATCGTTCGGGACCACATCCCAGAAGCAACTTCGAGCGCCCCGAGATATCGGCACAGTGTCTGCCCGACACGCTGGCGAGGTGCCGGCCGAGTATCGCCTCCCAGGGCCCCACACGTTTGTAACCCTCAAGTTTCGGTATCTTCCTTGGTGTCCGAAATTCTCTCTGGCGGTCAAGGCTAAGGTTGTTGGTTGGAACATCACGCCAGGGGTCAGGGTGTGCCCGCTGCAGGTGGGGGGGGGCTGGCCAGCACTCGCCGCCGAGCGCGGCGGCTCGTGCGGCCTGCATTCCGAGGCGGAGCTGCGGGCCCGGTCGCTGGTGGCCGGTCGTGTCAATCGCAAAGTTTGGGGAGCCTTGCTACCCTCGCAATTCCATCTCCAGACCCAGACATGGTCGCGTCTTAAAAAATTCAGGACGAATATTTTCCGTCGTTTTCGGCCTCTCGAGGACCTCGCCGGGCCCTGGGACCGTCAAAAAACGGTTCAGGATGACAAACCGGCCCCGGGGAAAGGGTCGGGATTTCCGGGGACACCGTCTTGAAAAAATCAGGGCGTCGCATGTTTGGGAAGTGCTCTAGCGTCGACGAGCGTCTGGTAATCGATGAGGTAGCGCTGATGTAGCGTCGGTTGGCCTGGATCTAGCGTCGACGAGCGTCGATTCGCAAGAGCCAACAGGATGGCATGGGAGGCTCCCATGAGTTGCCACCGAAGGGTGCTGCCAATGGTGCCCCTGGCCCAGGATGTCCCCAGGCCGAACGAAAGGGGTGGATAGGGAAAGGGGGGCTTACGAAATCTGCTGCATGCAGCTGGTTTCGGCCCCGCCGCCGGGCCCATCCCTCGATACATGGGTGCCTCCCGGCGCCAGGAGGCGCTGGGAAAATCAGCTACGTGAGCTAATTCTCTACCATACCCTTTGCTGTTCCCCCCCTTTCGTTCCCCCCGAAAGGTCTCTCAGGGTCAGGGCCCCCCCACTGCCTCCAGAGCACGGCCCAGGAGGGCCCTGGGGGCTCCAGCACGGCGTGAAGAGCTGGGGGCACATTGGGCCAGAGTTAAGTCAGGCATGTCCCTACACAGAAGGAGTATTCAAAAATAAATAGAAATTGGTCTGCGGACGATTGTTTTGACTATTTTTGACTATGTTTGCATCTGTTTGGACAATCCCACCAGCCCTCTGGGCGTAGGTGGTCTAACGGGATTCTTTCTTTCCTCTTCCACGAAAAACCCCGCTTCTCCTTCAGGGAGGGGTTTATCATTGTTCCCTATTAATATACACCCCCTCCCCCAGGCGACTGGGAGCCAACCCGAGTCAATGAGGGCACCCCCCCACCATCACTTGCAAAAAGCAATACAAAGCACACTCTGCCTCCAAATTCGGAGCATGCGCAGCGAACCCGATGCGGCCTTCCCCCACCATCCCTGACAAAAACAATACATAATACTCTTGGCGGCGGCGGCGGCGGCTGCGGCGGGGGCAGCGGCTGCGGCGGCTGCGGCGGTGGCGGCGGCGGTGGCGGCGGCGGCGGCGGCGGGGGCGGCGGCGGCGGCGGCGGCAGTGGCGGCAGCGGCTGCGGCGGCGGCGATTCGGCAACGGCGGCGGCGGCGACGGCGGCGGATTCGCCCCCAGTAGCTGCCCATCCAAAGACGACTGCTGAATATGCTGCGGCTCGGGCCAGGCTCGGGTGCTGCGTATGTGTTGGGAGGGCGGGTGGGAGTGAGCGAGACGGCGTGCGGGCGGGGAGGGAGTCTTGATCATTGTTCCCTATTAATATACACCCCCTCCCCCAGGCGACTGGGAGCCAACCCGAGTCAATGAGGGCACCCCCCCACCATCCCTTGTAACAAGCAATACAAAGCACACTCTGCCTCCAAATTCGAAGCATGCGCAGCGAACCCGATGCGGCCTCCCCCCACCATCCCTGTCAAAAAACAATACAAAATAAGTACACTTGGCGGCGGCGGCGGCGGCGGCTGCGACGGCTGCGGCGGGGGCAGCGGCTGCGGCGGTGGCGCCGGCGGTGGCGCCGGCGGAGGCGCTGGCGCTGGCGGCGGCGGCGGCGGGCGGCGCGGCGGCGGCGCGGGCGGCGGCGGACAGCGGCGGAAGCGGTGGCGGCGGCGGCGGCGGCGGACTGGCCCCCAGTAGCTGCCCATCCAAAGACGACTGCTGAATCTGCTGCGGCTCGGGCCGTGTTCGGGTGCTACGTATGTGTTGGGAAGGCGGGTGGGAGTGAGCGAGACGGCTTGCGGGCGGGGAGGGCGTTTTGACCCCTCACCCTACCCCTTCACCTGGCCTTTTTTCGGCGTCGGTCACGGGAGGTTGGAGGGCCTTTTTTCGGCCCCTGGGAGGGTCAATTTCTGACACCTCTCACGAGGATCGTGGCCCCCGAGGGGGACCTCGATCGGGAGCTTCCTTCCTTTGATCGATAGTTTCGAAGATGGCCCCAAGAGGCGCTCCAGGGCTCCCAAGAGAGCCCCAAGAGAGCCCCGAGAGGGCTCCAAGAGGGTCCTTAGAGGGCCCCAAGCGGCACCCGAGAGGCTCCCAACAGGCCCCCGAGCGGCCTCAGAGAGCCCAAGATGACCTCCAAGATGGCTCAGACAGCCCAAGCTGGCTCAAGATGGTTTCGAAGATGTTCCAAATGGCCCCAGCCTGCTACGAGGGCGCCCAAGAGCGCTCCGAGAGAGCCCAAAGAAGCGGGTTGCCAGCTCCTGAGAGGGGTGAGCTGAGTTGGGGGCCGCCCCATCCTGTAATTGATGGCCTCCCAAATGATCCGAAGAAGCCTTCCAGGGTTACCAAGAGGGTTCCAAGAGGGCCCCCCCATACTCCCAGAGAGCACCACTAGCAGCAGCAGCCTAGTCATCGTCCTCCTCGTCCTCGTTCTCATCCGCGTCCTCGTCCTCCTATTCCTCCTCGTCCTCATCCTCCTGCTGCTCCTCTTCCTCCTCCTCTTCCCCTCGCCTCCACGCAGCCCCGAAGGATGGCCCGAAGAGGCCTTCCAAGGCCCCAAGGCCACCCCCTTGCTCCCAGAGATCTCCCGGTTCACCCTGGTTGTTCGCTTTGTTTCCCTAGATGTGTCTCTTCGTCCCTTTTCCCGTCAGCTCTCATGGGCAGGGCTTCTGAATGGGCTGGTGGGGATACTTTTCGTTGACCGACCGCTAGCGGACAGCTGCGCGGCGCCATCAGTCAAATGCAGCCAGGCCTGCGTGCAGGGCGAGCCTAACAGGCTGGTGGGGATACGCGAAGCGTGAAGAATAGTTTTGCTTCGTTCTTCCAAAACCCGCCTGTATGAGGACATGCCCGGCCTGAGGCCAGAGGGCACCTTTGGCAGCCCGAGGTGGGCGCACCGGCGCCGGCGTTGCCTTGGAGCGGCCCCCTGCCACTTGATGGTGCGTGGGCGCAGGCCGATGGCAAGGCACGGCTTGCGGGCGCCAGCGGCTGTGTGGATGGCAAACTGTCGCCGTCGCTTTGCTCCGCCCACAGTTTCTCGGTCGATGCCAAGCCCGAGAGAGCCGAGTCGAAGCAGCGAGCATCAAAGAGGAGCGTGACGGGGAATAAGCTGATGGCTATGCTGGGGCACAGGGGGATGTCATACAGGTCATCCGTCGTTTCGTCGGAGGAGCCCACGTCAGGCTGGATGCGGAAGATGCTTTGGAGGCTGAGGCATTATGATGGTGGCGCCGTCAATGTGGTCATGGCTGCTGTGATATTTTCAAGTTCCATCAATGTCGGACTGGAGATCGAATGCGAAATGGAAGGCGCGGAGCGCTGCACGGACATCACGAAAATTCTGGAGCATGTTTTTTGTGTAATCTTCGTGTTGGAGCTAGCCATCCGCTGCCTGGTCGAAGGCCCTGCCGCCTGCAGGACAGCGTGGTTCCAGTTCGACACGGTCCTGATCTCCGTAAGCGCGCTCTCCGTTTGGGTGCTGCAGCCGATCGTCGCCGCGAACTACGACAGCAACGAATCCGCTGCGTGGGCGGACGCCATCTCCCAGGTGACCATGCTGCGCACCCTGCGCATCCTCCGCCTGCTCCGCGTCCTGCGCCCGCTGGAGCAGTTCCACGAGCTGTGGAAGCTCGCGACCGGCCTGCTGAGCTCCCTCCGCACGGTGCTCGCGGCGTTGACGATGATACTGATGACCCTCTACGTCTTCGCTTGCTTCGGCATGGAGCTGGTCAACTACAGCGCGTCCCAGGGGGACGACTCGGCCGCGGTAGCTGTGATGCAGGAGCACTTCTCCTCGGTGTATGTCACCATGCTCACGCTGATCCAGTTCGCTACCGGGGACGGCATCGCGGACGTGTACTGGCCTCTGGTCATGAAGGCATGGTACTTGAGTTTCTATTTTATGGCCATTTGGCTCATTGTGACAGTTGTGCTGATGAATTTGATTCAACAGTCTTGCGCCGCATCCGCCGACCCTCCTGCTCCGACCGCTGAGATCAATGCGTTTTGGAGGGAGGGGCCTTTGTTCTCCTCCTCCCCCTGATCCTTTTCCTCCTTCTCTGTCTCCGTCTCACCTCTGTCCATGCTATGCCTCCTCTTCCTCTCATTCGCGCGCCTCTCGCCTGTGTTCCTTCCGACCTTTGACCTCCGCCTCCTCCAATTTTTGCCCCCGCCCCCCCCCTGCCACATGTTGCTTTCAGCCGATTGCCGATGCTTGCCGCTGCTGCTGCCGCTGCTGCTGCTGCCGCTGCTGCTGCTCGACGCTGCTCGCGCCTGATCGTTGCGACTTTCTCTTGTTTTATGCTACAGGCTGTTGCCTTGTGCTGCCTTCAGCCGCTTCCTTGTTGCTTGCCTGCTGCTGTCTGCTAGCTGTTGCTGGATGCTGCTGTCGGCTCTGCTGGTGCTGGCGTTGCCAGAGGGTCGCCTGGGCAGCCCTCGAGCGTTTCGCGAGGGCTTCTTAGATGGTCTTCGGTGCCTTCTGGGGTCCTCTTGGCACGTCTTTGGGTTGAGGCTCTCTTGGGACTTCCCCGAGATTCTGGCGTCAGATGTTTCTGACACCCAGGGTCCCGAGGCCCTCACGGGTCGATCCCGTTCGGGAAATTGCCGCAGAAACATTGGGTCTAGGGCTCCGGCCGTGATTCTTCACGGTGTTGTATTGTGAAGGCCTTACGGCCGGTGCCGCCGACCTTGAAGACGACGACGAGGACGACGAGGAGGAGGAGGGGTAGGAGGGGCAGGAGGGAGAGACGGAGAACGCGGTGGAGCAGTGGGAGGGGGAGGAGGAGGATGCAGAGGAGGATGAGGAGGGGGAGCAGGAACAGGGGCAGGACGGGTGGGGAAGGAGCAGTGGGAGGACCAGGAGAATGGGAGTCCGAGGAGCAGGAGAAGAAGGAGGACACGGAGGAGGGGGAGGAGGAGAGGCAGGACGAGGTCGAGGATGGGAAGGACGAGGTCGAGGTCAGGTTGCGGAGCACCGAGGGAAGAGCACCCGGGGGAGGGTGGAGAGCATGATAAGGAGGGTGCTCAGGAGGATGAGGATGATGAGGAGGAGGATGCGAAGGAGGGGGATGAGGAGGAGGGGAAGGGTGAGAGGAGGAGGAGGGAGGAGGAGGGGAGGAGGAGGAGGAGGAGGAGGGGGATGAGGAGGAGGAGGAGGAGGAGGAAAAAGAATAGCAGGAGGAGCAAGAGGAGGAGGAGGAGGAGGAGGAGGAGGAGGAGGAGGAGGAGGAGGACGCCGTGGAGTAGGATGGGGAAGATGAGGAAGAGCATGCGGAGGAGGATGAGGAGGGGGAGCTGGGGCAGAGGAAGGGCGAGAAGGGCAGCGAGCAGGTGGAGGACGATGAAGACGAGGCGGAGAGACAGGAGGAGGAGGGTTAGGGGCAGGGGGCGGAGGGGATGTTTGTCGGGGTCCCTTCGGAACGCTCTCGGGGGCCTCTGGTGGAGACTCTTGGGGGGCCTCTTGGGAGCCTCTTGGGGGCCTCCAGGGGCTTCCTGGGGGCTTCTTTCGGGGCGTCTTGGAGGCCTCTTGGAGCCGAGCTTCTCGGGGTCGCGAGGGCTCGAGAGGCTCTCGCTCGGGTACCCCGTCGGAGCACCCTCTGGGAGCCGTCGTGGGTGCTTCTCGGCCTGTCGTGGAGGCGTCTCGGGCCGTCTTGGGGTCCTCTTTGGACCATGCTGGGAACCTCTTGGGGGACGCTGGGCCGCCTTGGTGCGATCTTGGGGGCCTCTGGGGCCGTCTTGGAGAGTCGGGAAGCGGAAGAGAGTTTTGCGTCTTGGGGCCTTCTTGGGAGTGCTCCTGGAGGCCTCTTGGGGCGTTTTGCAGGCCTCCTGGGCCGTCTGGATACCGTCAAGGCGTTTTGGACAGATCGTTCGGCGATTCGGCGCCCTCTTGGACCGTCTTGGGGGCCTCTTCGGGCACTCTTGGCCCGTCCTAGGGCTTTTTGGGGACTCGGGACCCCCAGGGGCGAGTCGTATCTGGGCGTGCGCGGGCAAGGGGTTGTAGGGATTGGGAAGTGCTCATTCCAGACACGCGACGTCTTGATTTTTTCAGGGCGGCGTCCCCGGAAGTCCCGACCCTTTCCCGGGGGGCGGTTTGTCATCCTGAATCGTTTTTTGACGGTCCTGGGGCCCGGCGAGGTCTTCGAGAGGCCGAACACGACGAAAAGCCTTCTTGCTGATTTTTTACGACGCGATCATGTTTGGGAGCCTTGCCTGTGCCGCGCTGCGACGGTCCGATGGAGGTTGCATCAATGTGCAGGGCAGGAATCGGGCGTAGGGGGGGGACCGACCTCGACAGGGGTTCGCGTCTGCACGCCGGTTGTCAAAAGTAGGTATTTTCGGATGCCCAAGTCCTGATCTGATTTAGGCGCCTTCCCACTTCAAGAGTCGAGCGGTGTTCCTTCTCTTCTCGACTTCCAACGCCAGCTATGAAAGGGCGCTGCTCGGCTTCGTATTTTCTCCACAATGCTCGGCGGTCCGCGGTCTTCGGTCTCTCGACGCGCCACGGCCGCCCAAGAGGGCTGCAAGACCGCCGGAAGACGACTCAAGAGGAGGAGGAGGAGGAGGAGAAGGAGGAGGAGGAGGACCAGTGTAGACTAAACCCTCCCTCCAAGCTCCCTCTCAATAGGCCCCTACAAGGGTTCATTTCCACTGAAGCAACTGCCTCGTTGGAAAACAACCGCTTGAAGACACGGAAGCATGCCAAAACATTGTTCTCGGGATTGCAACGCCACGGATCAACCTGACTGTTGTCTTTTGGCGATCCTGAATTGCGCCAAAGGCCATTCCTGGGACTTCAACGCTGCGAATCAAACTAACTGTTGCACCCTCATAATCCTGAATCCTTCCAAAACACCGTCTCTGGTATGTTGATCATGGGAATCCGTGAAACTCTTGCAAGTGTTCAGTCGAATATGCGCGACGCTAAGGCGAGAGCCACATTTCGAAAAGGAACCGCCCTCGATCCGTGAAACTCGTGCAAGTTTTTAAAGCCAATGTGCGTGGCGCTAAGGCGAGATCCTCATTTTGAAAACGGGTGGCCCTCCATGTGTGAAGCTCTTGCAAAGGTTAAAAACGAGTGCGCGCGGCGCTAAGGCGAGAGCCACATTTTGAAAACGGGTCACGTTCAATCCGTGACACCCTTGCAAATGTGTTAAACGAATGTGCGCGGCGCTAAGGCGAGAGCCACATTTTGAAAACGGGTGGCCCTCAATCCGTGAAGCTTTTGCAATTGTTTGAAACGAATGTGCACGGCGCTCAGGCGAGAGCCACATTTTGAAAACCACCCGCCCTCCATATGTGAAACTGCTGCCAATGTTGAAGCTTCAGGGTAATACATTGTAAGGAAGTCTCAGGCGAAACGCCCGGTCCGCCCTAAAAACTGGCCTCGGGGTGCGACGGAGAAGGAGGAGGAGGAGGAGGAGGAGGAGGAGGAGGAGGAGGCGAGAGGAGGAGGAGGAGGAGGAGGAGGAGGAGGAGGAGGAGGAGGAGGAGGAGGAGACGCCCCGAGCGGGCTCCAAGGGGCCCAAGACGCCTCCAAGTCAGCCCGAGGGGCTTCCAGCAAGTTCCAGGACAGAGAGATGTCGAGGCGGTGGCCCCGGGCGGGCACTTCCAGCTCCTGGCCCGGAGAGGAATCCAGGAAGTCCCGAGGGGCTCCCGAGAGGCCCCCAGGAGGACCCAAGCTGCCTGCTGAAGGACTCGACGTGGCCGTTGATGGGCGGCTTCGCGGGTCCCCCGCTGTGGCGCATCTGAGAACGGCTGTTTCAGCTGCTCCACCCAGGGGGCCTTTTGGGGCCGTCTTGTGCGCCCCCGGGGCTTGTTCTGGGGCTTCCAGCACTCTCTTGGAACCGTTTTGGGGGGCTTCGAAGGTCGCCCTGGAGGCGGCTTGGGGCTCTCCTGGCGCCCTCTCCCCCTCCTCCCCCTCCTCCTCCTCCTCCTCCTCCTCCTCCTCCTCCTCCTCCTCCTCCTCCTCCTCCTCCTCCTCCTCCTCCTCCTCCTCCTCCTCCTCCTCCTCCTCCTCCTCCTCCTCCTCCTCCTCCTCCTCCTCCTCCTCCTCCTCCTGGGGAAGAGCATCTCAGGCGGCCGTGCAAGGTGCTCTACCGGCGGGGGGAGGCCTGTGGGGCGTCCTGGGCTCTCCCCGAAGCTTCTCTTGGGGCCCCGGGGCCTCCTGGGGCCTCCATGGGCCCTTCATGGGCCATCCTGGGGCCCCATTGGAGCCATTCAGGGCCCCAAGGAGGTACCCATCGGTGGTTGAAAGTCGGTATTTCTGGATTCCCAGATTCCAAGACATTTGGAGCGCCTTCCTACTTCAGGAGTCGAGCGGCTTCCCCTCTTCCCTCCTCTTCAGGGGGCGGGCGGAGGCCCAATCCACTTCCAACGCCTCCCTGCTTCATGCATCTGCCGACTTCTTCCGACCGATGGGTACGTCCTCTCCTGGAGCCTCCCCGAGCCCCGAAGCCGCGCGCGGGACGCGGGGCCCTCCCTGGGGCCTTCTTGGGGCCGCCCTGGCGGCGCTTCGGGCCCCCAGCGGTGGAGCACCTGAAGCCGCTGTCTCACGCGGCGATCGTGTTCTTGTGTTGCGAAGGCCTTACGGCCCGTGCCGCCGACCCTGAAGGGAGACGACGACGACGACGACGACGACGACGACGACGACGATGGCGGCGGCGGCTACGACGACGACGCGGACGTGGGCCAGGGTCCTAGCTCAGGGATGGTTCTTCGGGTCTCTTCGGAAGTCTCTCGGGGGCCTCTGGGGAGGAATTTTGGGGCCTCTTGGGAGCCTCTTGGGGGCTTCTTGGTGATCGTTTTCTTCTTCATGGTTTTGCCGGTCGGCGCTGGCCCTCGCACCCCCCCTCCCCCCCCCCGGGAGTAGATCTTTTCTGCTTTTGGCGCGCCTGCCTGCTTCGATCAGGCGGGGTCTCCCCCCATAGGACGCCATGTTGCAAACA